CTTAGTGATCGCCTGACTCAACATTCCGTGACAAGCATAGAGCCATGGTTCAGCCTGACTTCCAAAGGCATTTCCAGATTTCATGCCTGCCCTGAAACGCCAGTGTTCATATCCAGCTGCACTGGAGCATTATAAAAGCCCTCTCTCAGTCAGGGCTAACAGAGAGAAGAAGGGATGCACCCAGGTAATTAGGAGACAGGGGAGTTGTCAGTGATTCTTTCTGTCTATCATTTTGTTTAGCCACATTTCTGTAATTTATGGAGTAAATATTGTTAGCTTCCCTTCCAGGATTTGACATCGTACGGTCATGACTTCTGGCTTACACAACTTCCAGTAAGGGAGGTCTGTATTACTGTGGATTTATAGATGTATTGCTTTAGATTTATAGAGGGAACAGGAGAGAACTCCCACAAGCCCATGGAGGTGGAAGGGAAGAGCAGATGTTATGCTTTATCTTGTTTTCTGACACACAGATCTGCCTCAATCTCTCACAGCAGTCACGCAAACACATTTATCAACCACAATATGCATACTCTACTGCTCTCCTGACATTTCTAACTCAAGTTACCGCATCCTCACACAGCGCAATTGACCTAAGGAAACAATTTTAATCTTTTCAGTTCCCTCTTCTCTGAAGACAGTATTTTATTTATTGCTTTACTATAGCAAGAGCAGCACCACAGCACTTAAATCAAGGATTATGATCTGCTATGTGCCATGCTGTAAGTAGTAGTAATATTAATGGCCCTAGGACTAAAAGTCCTGTTGTCTAATCTCATGATCGCACTGGTCACACATAGACAAAATTGTATCCTGAAGAGGCACAGTTTGCACACAGATCAGCAGTTTCAGCTCATTACCAGCTGCTGTCTGGGGAAGCGACGTAAAAACACGCTGACCACAAGGAGAAAAAAGAAATCCTTCTTATTTGAATAGGTAGCACTCACCTAGGCGCTTCTTCACTTCAGTGTGGAATAAATAGCATGTATGCCCCATCTGTGTCCCAAAGACTCGTGTGAATTTTATTCTCGGGGCTAATGCACCTAAATGCTTACAAATGGGAGTTTGAAAACTGTTTGTAATATTAGAAATAACACAATAAAATGACACCCAGAGTTGACTGTGCTGCCGATGAAGCTTCTTTTATGCACAGCATGTTGTGTCCTGAAACGCACTCAGGAAGCAGGGAAAACATCTGCAGTTCTTACCAATTAGTATTTCTGCGGCACATCTACCTACGGCATGCTGTGCTTGTGCAAAATGGTCCAGAAAGGAGTATATACCAACAAACGCTTTCTAACCAGCAACCAGTTACCTACAGCCTTAGCCAGATTCAGTCCTGACTGTTCTACCCCTGCAGCCCTGCCCAGCTCCTCCAGCAGCTTCTGGGGGCCTTCGCTCCCTTGCCTGGCTTGGAAATGTAGGAGACGTTTGCGCTGGTCAGAGCACAGGTCAGCCAGTCCCTGCCCCCAGCGTAGTTATGAACGGAGAAGTTTGGGGTGTCTCTTATTTTTGGTCCCTAATCGAAGGACCCTACTGCAGATTTAGCCATTATAAAATTGTGCCATGACATTTTTCACAGCCTGGAGAGGATCACTCAAGTCTCGGACCCATGACAGGCCCCAGGAACTGGCTGGCAGGTTTCAGAGGAGATTCCTCCTCCTTGGGGCACGCTGACGTGGTGGCACCGGGCTGGCCTGGCGCTGCGAGGCTGAATCACCACCTCGTAGGAGTGGTGCTGCCTGGACAATGGCAGGCCTGGGAACTGTGTGCAGCCACTCCTTACGCTACACAAGCTCTGAAAGGAAAAGTAAACTGAGTTTATTTGACTAAACTGCTGAACAAGTCAGCATCTGTTTCTTGGAGGAAGAAAGGGGAAATCAGTTAATCTGCCAAATAGTTTTGAGACAAAGTGACTGTTACCATTTTGACAGACCTTCATGATTATTTCCTGGTTCCCTCCAGGCAGCAAGCTCCCCTGTCCAGTTAGCCCCAAAGACAATTTACACAGCTGTGTAGAAGTGGGATGCAACCTTTCAGATAAACTTCATCATTTGGCGTTGCTTTTTCTTTGAGATGAGCATGAACTTGCAGTGAAGATCCTCTTTTCGTCCCATTCTCTGGGCAGAGTTCTGCTTGGTGTAATTCCACCTTTACTGCTTTCTAAATCTCCATCCTCAGGTCTCAATTTTTCATCCCCTTACAGCTACAGTTGTGAAGGAAGAGCTCTGGAGTGGTTCTCTGGGTTGGGCAAACCCACTCAGGCATAACACTGCGTCAGCTGCAAGTACCACAGCATAAGGCAAAGGCAAATGCCTCTCCTTTTGCCCAAAGTCAAGAAAAGTTTCATCACCTCCAAGGATGTATGACCTTGCATTCATACTGGTTTAATAATATCTCATTTCAGATCTACCCATTACACAAGCTGTAAGCAAGGACAACGAATTAAGCTCATTAGCAGTTTGATACAGCCTAGATATGATGGCAGACAAGCAGCCGTGGGGACAAAAGTGCATTTGAAGTAGATGAATGCTAAACTCAGCGTGCCAGCATGACGGATGGGGCACTGTGGCTGTGCTGGCGTTCTTGGGTTGTTGTACTTTTGTTCCCTGCTGCTAAGCATGGCAATGGAAAGGTTTCCCGTGTCTCTAGCTGACACTTCCTTAAAGCCTGGTCAGCCCCAGGCGCAGAAAGCAACCTCTGCTCCCAGGCAGCCAGATGGCTAGCTGCAATCCAGTCACTCTTTAATTAACTTTGGGGTTTTTTTTTTCCTCTGTGGGTTGTTTCTGGGAGAAAGGGAGCGGACAGCATGTTTGTTTACATGAGATTGATTTGGCCTGGCAGTTCCCTGGGACTAGACTAAGAATTTAAGCGTCTCTAGGTTTTGTTATCACCATAAATGGAGTAGAAGCTGAGAATCCAAGGGGCTTTCTAGGTTGCATGTAAAGGAGTTACATAAGTATGCAGGTTTATGGCAAGTCGTATGTAGATGGGCAGCACACAAAACAAAGCTGATGGGGGCAGACTGATCTGAGGCCTTGGTTACTGTGCACTGTTGAGCCACTGCAAAGTTCAATTAACTTCAAATGCAACTACAACAAACACTGACCTGTAAGCAGCTCCTCTAAACCCTGTGGAGTTGCTTGCGTGCATGAAGTTACACAATGTGCATAAAGCAACTGCTGGATGGAATGGAATCAGCATTTATCATCTGATCTAAATTAAAAAGCAGAAGGGTGTAAAGTATCTGCATTAGGGGTTAGCAACTAAAATGCCCAGGTATAAAACTAAGAGGTACAAAGAGAAAAAATATCTAAGTAACAGATCAAAAATAAGTTTATCCTGCAATCCAGAGATGCAAACAGCTTTTACCCTTGTTAACCACCTGCCCCTACAATCGAGCTGGAGCAGCTCACGTGTCATATTCTACTGAGACCCCAGCTGAATGCCAAGCAGGCCAGCAAGTGCCAAGCTCCATCCTGCTAGAGAGGACAAAAGCATGGTCTAGGAAAAGGCAAGTAGAAGGGAGGGTGAGGAAGCTGTACGAGCTCACCAACTCTGAACATAGAGAGCGTGGAAGAGATAAGAAAGGAGGGAGGCAACCAAATAACAAAGGAAAAAGGATAATGGTGTATTTTTCTTTTAGAAGTAGCAAGTCTGGAAGGCAGAAAGTGCTGAAGGAGAGGAGATGCATCAGAGAAGAGGTGAAGAAGAGTAATTTTGAATCAGAATGGGGTTAAATGTAAAGGATGAAGCACGTTTCCCGCGTCTGTCACTGAAGGGAGAACTCTCTCCATAGAGAACTTTTTAAAATTACTTTGAGGCCATGTTGCATCTGACATCTGAGCATTTTGCAAAGCAAGGCTTTGGGACATAGGACGTGTATCTCACAGGCTGCAATTTCACTGCAGACAGAAGACAAGGGCAGAGCTGCTGCGAAAGCGTGCCTGGAAAATCGCAGAGGTGCACCCTGCTATTTTGCAGCAGAGATTGTTTTTTAATTGCTATTTGTTGACTCATACCCCAGATGAACGAGCAGAGTCCTCCCCCTGGTGGTAAGCAAAAAGAAAAGTATCTAATTTTTTAGAGTCATGTCCATCTAAGGCTATAAATGAAATACGGAGCATTAGACAGGACCTATTTTTTATTAGGGCAACTGATACAGCTGGGGGGGAGACAATTTTGCAAAACACAAATCCTTTTTCAGGACTTACATAGAATTACTTACTTTGACACAACTTCAGAATAGTTGCCGAGTTAAATTTCATGGTTAATTTATTAGACAATTTGCAAGAGAAGCAGAGGATAAAACCTGTAGAATAACTCTTAGTAGCTGAGCAGGGTAATTGTAATGTGCAATAATCCTATTATTTCCACTGAGTCTTTGTCCTTTAGTGCCAAATTGAGTTTTGGTGCCTAAAATCCCTTAAAGGCAGACTGATTGGGAAAGTGAAATGCATTACACTACTGAACAGTAAAAGTGGACTCGGTACAGAAGTCGGGTTTATTGTATATAACAATTTTCCCCAACTAATGTCCTCAAATAGCTGTTCAAAAATTATCCGTAGAAAATGATCGGTGTGTTTGTTATGGGAAGTGATGACAAGGATCAGGAGTTTTGGACAGCAGTTTTTCTTTTACGTTACCAGTTTGGTGGGTGAGGGGAGAGCAGTAGGTGTTGCTTTGCCTCTACTAAGGCTTTCGACACTATCTCCCATAGCATCCTCACACACTGAAGTACAACCTAACTAAATGGGCAGTGAGGTGGACAGAACAACGGCAGAACCACTGGGCTGGAAGGGGCTAGTCACTAGCAAAGTGCCCCTGGGGTCAATACTTTAACATCTTCCTTAACACCGTGGATGAATGGACAGAGTCCACCCTCAGCAAACTGGCAGATGACACAAAACTGAGGAGAGCAGTTGACAACCAGACAGTTATATTCCCCCATCCTTAAGAATGGAAAGCTATGCCCTTTACCACAAAGCACCATCTGCACATTTATGTTTAAAAAGATTTAATTTTCACCCTGGTACAAAAATACAGTACAATGTGATGGCAAGGCATTCGCCAAAAAACATTCAAAGAATAAAAGGGGGAACCCCATAAAGGTTCAACATAACCCACCCTCACTTGATGAAACAATCAAAAGGTGAGTGCACAAGGAAAAAGTCAAATTTCTGCCCAGAGGCAAATAAAGATGAATCACACACAGTTCTACACAAAAATATGTTTGCAGAGCTAATAATTTCACATGCTACTTCAACATTCATAAAACTGATTCTAATTGGCTTAGTGGCAGAATTCATGGTTTGGGATGTGTAGAAAACACCTGGCCCAGGAACATGCCCCATTCACAGGAATCCCCAGTAAAAACAATGGGATCACATAATACCAGTGAGAAAAGAGGGATCCAACCCTGATTAAGCATCAAAATGTTGGCTAAATCAAGTTATTCCAATCACACCCTTTGTCCTCAAATAATGTTTTGCCCTACACACCTCCCTTTTAACACCCAATATTAGTGGTTGCTCAAACACAGGAACTGATGTGTTTGCGTATTGCCGAGTTGCAAATAACCATCACAGTATGGACTGCCAGGCAGAGGGGGAGATAACACTGTAATTGATGTGTGTGTGTGAACTCCAAACAGGGTTTAACCTAACATTGTTGACAGGAGAATTATGTCCCTCCAGTGCATCTACATTCTTGGTCTGTTTAATCATTTCCTTTTAGAGTTTTGACGTTACGGAAAAGCATCATTCAGTGTAGTCATTATAGTTCATCTCCCAGGTGTTTTTGTTTGAAAGCATCACCTGTTAGCTTCTCCTGGGCCACCTTCATCCCTTGGACAACTGAAAGATTAGACAGAGACAGCAACTGTTAATCTCAAGATGAAAACGTCAAGGTGTCCTGGTAATAAAAGTGTGTTAAAATAACAGTTACAGAATGTAGGTCTACAAATTAACCCGTGGAAAAAAACAACCAAACAACAGTCCTGTGCCCTTTTCCCAACTATTTGTAGCTGAATCATGCTAACAGCATGATTTTCCATGCCACAACTGGAGAGAAAGTTTAGGTCCTGTAGACATTACAGTAGGTGTTAACACGAATCATAATTCTGAACACGGTTTCTCAAGGCTAAGAGAGCCACTCACTCATGTCGTATCTAACATCTCTCAGTTACACTAAAGTACCATCATTTTTCTCCACTCAAAAGTGAAGATGTGTCCCTCACTCAGGACACACACGGTTTCATCTCACTAAAAATGCACCTCAAACCACTTTGCACATACCTTGATCAGCATTGGTATAGAAATACTTGTAGCTGGGGTTTCCTTTCTCATTTATGATTTCTGGGTGGACTTTTCCACTGGGGTCTATGAAGCAAGAAATCAAACAGGGAATTTAGGTGGTAACAATAAGAACACAGCCCTGTGCATAAATACAACAGCTGTGGATGCCCTACCCATGAAAAGGATCCTGGGAATGTAACCTCCATCAGGACTAAAGGCTTCATCCTTTGGCTCTTCATCATCCTGCCAAAGCAAGACAGAAGAGAGGGAACCTATTAGCAAGGTGTCTAACAAAACACAGCACTCATTTTAAAGAAACAAGCTATTGCCTTCAGATCCCATTTATCCTGAGCAATTTACACCTTGAGCAGACACTGGGTAACCGCACTATCTTCCACTCCCAAAGGAATGTGAGTTTCGAGTACCTAAGCAAGTATCATTTGTGAAAATAACACTTTTTTTCTGTTCTGTCAATCTGCATTAAACACTCCACTTTTGGTAGGAACGTTCTGTATGTCATGAGAGAATGAACATGAACTCCTTTATTGCAGCAACAGAATGACACGAGGTACAGACTGTTAAACAGACAATGGCAGATAGCCAGGCTTATAAACACAACTAAATAACCAATATGAAGAAAACTCTTTCTAATACAATCAGCTGTATCAATCAAGCCTGAACACCTATTCAGGAGCACACGGTTTAGGATGTACACAAAACAGGATGTAACCAGTCAAGCAGGATTCCAAATGCTTAACGACTAGGCAGTAACATGGATACAAATCAGAGGGCAGCCTACCTCAAGGTTGACCATAACAAAATTGTGGGCAAGTTCAGAGATCTCCTTGGATTCAGCAAACTTTGGCTTTAAAGCTAATAAAGGGGTAAAAAAAAATAAAGAGATAGGTAAAGGCAGTGCAAAAGATTTCAGGCTTTCAGGTCAGCATCAAAATCTTGACTTCACTCCTCTCTCTGGAGAGCTGGTACTTTTCAACAAGCAGTGAGTAAATGACACACACACATCAAACCGTTCAAGCCAGGCTCAGAACAGCAGGTAACCGAAGCAATCCTTGCTGGGCAGCCACATGGTGGAGCCTGGCCAACAGACATAGGCAGTCAAATTTGAACCAATGGAACAGAAACAAAAAGTTTGCTGTAAACCACCCGTTCACTCAACAAGCTCATCCTTTCAGCTGAGCCATTATGCCCGGCCTGTTTGTCTGTGATACTATGTCCTGGTTTGAGCTAAACAGAACTAATTTTCTACGCAGTGATTCTACTTTCCAGCTCAGCCTCTTTTAAGTGGCTGAACTGGATGAAAACTAGCAGCATGTTTTTCCCAGTGTGTACTGATAATGTTCAAGGCCAAGTGTCTCACCATGGGTGCCGTGTCTGTGCCTACGGGGGCAGGGAGTGGACCCAAAACTGACCAAGGAGGTATTCCATCCCACACACGTCATACTGCGTATAAAGCCGAGGGATCACGAGGGTCTCGACCCCACTTCCATCTTGGAGCCCTTACATCTCAGACCCTTCCATCTGTCTCAATCCTGCAATGGCTGAGGTCTGAGCAGAACCCTGCTAGTTTGTCTGCCTCTGGTCCTGATTTGTGTGCTCCTGCATCCTGCTCCCACTGCTGCTGAGCTCAGTCTGGGCCTTTTCCAGTGCCCTGCTCTGCAGAGCCAATGGTAATGTATACATCATTAAGGGAAGATTTTATATTGGTTTTATATATATATTTGTACATATCTGTAGATATTTAATTATTTTCCTATTTACATTATTATCCTGTAGTATCAGTATTATTGTTTTATTAAACCTGTTAGTTTTATTTTCCAACCCATAAAGCCTCTCTCCCTCATTCTCTTTTCTCTTCCCTTCTGGGGAGGGGAGAGGGGTTAACAGAGAGCATCTGTGGCCAGCCCAGCCCTAAACCAGGACATACTGAAAGAGACAAAGCTTCCTCTTCAAAGAGCCACCAGCTGAAAGTGCACTGAATGGACACTTTATTCTTGAACATTAGCCATTCCGTTCCACTTTTTCATAGCCAAGTGCAGGAGAAATTGCAGCCGCTACAGCAGAGCAGCACTACAGCTGTGAGCTTGCTGGCATTCAGGCATGGCTGGCTTTTGGCAGTGCTAACAGGTAAAGCGGTGTGATACTATACCACTCTAAATTAAATACAAATACTGTCACCTACATTTTGAATGTGAAGTTCATGTTTTTCATGGTCACATGATTTGCACACAGAAGTTCATTAGAAATTTCAGTGAGCTCTAGTATTAAATGCACTCACCTTTGCAAGCTCCACACCAAGACTTGTGGATGATAACCATGAGAGGCAAACCACTAAAAAAAAAATAAATTGTCAAAGAAAGCTCACAAATTCTATCACATGTTCATTTTCGCAATCAAGACTTCTACAAAGGCTAAATGTAATGATAAATGTAACCCCTTGCCTCACTACTAGTTGTATGTTTCAGTCATCTCCTGAGACCAAGACCCTCCACTGAGCAATAATCAAACACAGTGCCCTAGCAAACCCTCTGGCTGCCAGGCTCGTTTCCTGCATGTCAGGATGCTGAAACCAACTTGTGACAAATGTGACAAGTGCCAGGACTGAGGAGCAAGGGGGGCCTGCGTGGAACTGCAGCCCAAATAAAGTGCAATGCAAAAGGACAAGTTATTCTTTATTATTCTCTCTCTCTTCCCAAATAATTCCCTTACTACTTAAACTACCCAGAAGTTAGGTTTCCAGCACTTTGAGGTATGTTTTATTTACGCTTGTTCTTCAAAAATCCCTTTGGCATTTCACTTTCTGACAAAGTCAAACCTACCAAGTTCAATTTCTCTAAGCGCCTTTGTAACATACTCAGGCTGCATTATGAGATTCTAAAAAGCAGCCTTAGAGACAATACAAATTTAAGGTATTTCCTGGTTTTAGTGCTGGCGACCCAATTAACCCACCACTTTATCCAATTTATCCACCACTTCGCTGCTCCTGACTATTCTGCACCCATTTTACCTTTCTAGCAAGAAAGGTGATGCAACTACAGGTGACTTTTGTTGCTGTTGAGCACAGCCAGGTAGTACAACACTTACCCCCATTCCTTCTGCATGCAGAAGTCCTTTCTAACACTGCCATTGCTTCTACCATCCAACAGTTGAACTGGTGAAAGCTAACTAGGGCAATAAACTAAGACATACTGAGAACAAGGATTGGGTATCTCATCCCTTTTCTCTTACAAATAAAACCCTTAAGCTATGGAAGAGTATTCAAGAGAAGCTGGTAATAATTATATAGCTTCCAGAACTATAAACTACTTCCAGCCTAAAACTAGGTTAAAGAAAAGGAGAAATCAAAAAAGACATGCACAGAACATACTTTATAGACACTTCTTTCAGGATACACCGAGCAAAGCCGTTTAAGCTTTCTGCTATTGTAAACTCTCTTGCCATTTGGGGGCTGAAAATAATTTGTCACAGAGAAATTACAGACACCTTTGCCCATGATGGCAACTAAATTGCTAGCAGAACTGAAGCACAAGTTTTTCTTCAGCTGTAGATAGATATGAAAGGAAATCTCTACTTAGCAGCATCTAGTTACGGCCTTCAGAACCAGGAAAGGGTGACGAGGAAGGAACTGACATTTCCAGTAGTTCAAACAGAAGTCTGCCATTTATAACTAACCAATGTGTTATTATCTTCACAGAGGACTCTGTTTGCACTAAGAAGCAAGAACAGACAGTAAGGAGCAATACACATTTTCCTAGTAAAGCTTGTATTGCATCAGCTCCTCTCCCTAATGATGAAAAAAGCTTTTTTTTTCATTGTTTCCATACAGTCCAGCATGATTTTGCCTTTCCTGAGGGGAGGCTGACTGGATTTTGGAAAATATACATTGTTCTCATCAAAGACCAGTGCTTCATGTCAGAAGAGCTCAAATCATCTGGTAACTGCAACACTTTTTTTTCTTTTTTTAAAGTTAAGAGAGATTTTTAAAGCAGATCTTAAAAGGAAATGCTCACAGTCCTGAAATACCAACTCTTAGCCAGTGAGAACTCACAGAAGTTTTAAAGACACTGAATGGACTTTCTCAGCTTTATTATGTTTACTTTGGGAAAATAAACTTATTCACATCAAAACATTTTTGTAGTAATTTCTCAGTTCTGCAATGCGTAAGCCCACCTAGCAGCCAGTATGTCAGATAAACAGACACTGTAACTGCCCCACTTTATCGTTTCCTCCCAGGTACCACTACATAGATTAAAACCAAAAGCCACAATTTATTAAAATGACAGATAAAGCATCCAATAGAAAGTGAAAAGTTTATATAGGCTATATGTGTGGTATAGCAAAGACTGAAATAGTTGAAACCAAGCACAAAACTAAGTGACTCATCACAACTAGTACAGCCTTACAGCAGTTTCACCCAGAACAGACACCGTCATTTTAGCTCATGAGAGCATTCTTAAAGGCATTTACTGATGACCTTGCAGAGAAGACATAACAAGTTATTTCAATAAAATAGTTCTGTAAATTAAGACTTTACTTCATTTAAGGCACGTATGTTATTGTTAAACCCAAAACAGAGAGGTTTAAGTTTGCTAAGCCAGCACCCTTTTGTTGCACAGTTTGCAAATGTATCTCTTGGGTTCAGATTTTTTTTTAAAACAGCCACATCTTAAAAATGCATCCTGTTCCAGTTCTGGACCTGAAGTCTCTTCTGCAGTTTGACATTATCAAGAGACAGCCTTGGAAAAACAATCTTCTTATTCAAGACACGCGCATGTCAATGTGG